TTATTCATTTTAATATCAAAACTTAGCATTTTTCACAGAATTTCATATTTAAGCTTTTCAGCTACGCGCCTGGACTGCGCACGCAAATCGAAGCGACTCTAAATGAGGTTTTCAAGGCCTCAGAAGCACATAATGGGTAAGAAAACAAGTGATGGCCCTTTGGGTCGTCACACTAACATTCCACCTAAATGGTTATGCAACTAACAAAATAAAGAAATTCAAATTAAATATTAAACTTCAACTTTTACTATAATTGGAGTGATTTGGATCATAAATTCATAGTTCCTGGAACTCATGTTTAGGAGCTTAATTTTCAACTACTCCTAATTATAAGATGAGCTTGGTATTCAAACTATAACCTGTCCGTTGAAAATGTTTCCAGCTACTCATAAATATGAAAATGGTGGAATGTATGTTCCATAATGAGATGAAAAGCTTAAAATGCATAAGAAAGTGAAGAAGATGATATGATAAAAGTTGATTCTTCATCAATATTTGACAATTAATTTTTTTAATTAAACTAATCCGCAAGGACTAAAATTTTAGATACATCAGATATTGAGATTGAAATTTTTTTTCATGTCACAATCATAAGAAAACATATAAAGAAAAGTAAACTAAAACTGAAAAAATATGAGAAAGATTTAATTACCAACGAGTTCAGTATTGTCAAATTCTTGTGGATTTGACAGGTGCCATAGGTTCTAAATTTAAAAATACACATATTGAATTGCGGATCTTGTATTTCCTCAAAATGACCAACAAAGAGGTTGCAGAGATATTTTATTGGATCTTGTTGGTATTTTCATATTCAAATTTAAAAAATAAACTAATTATCATCATTAGAATTTGCACACAATCGTTCCCAAATTTTATTACTTGGTAACTTTCCATAATTAATCGTTGTTGGTAAATTAATTTTTAAAAAATGTAAAAGGGTAGATATTACAGTATTTTGAAATTCAAATTCAAAAAGATAAACTAATTTTACCTAATTTTAACTAAAATAGTCATTTTCTTCGCATAACACTTGGCAAATAGATAAATTGGTGCCCAAACAAAAGAAGTTTTATGCCGGCGGGCTTGAATATCAGTGTTAGAGAAATGGTGGGTGGTCGGACGATGGAGTGGGCGGCGAGAGCAAGCCACCTAGGTGGTCTTCCGAGGAAAATGGTGATCACGGCGGTAGGTTCGTTCGCGAAGGCGGTGGCGAATCTACTCAACACCACCACTGTCCACAACGGCGACACCCTCCTCCAGCTCGTTCGATCCCGCCCTGCCGGTGTTCCTCTCCTCACCGTCAGCAATCACATGTCCACGTTAGTCACTTGCTCTCTTCTCCATCCTAATAAATCTTTCACTTTATTCTCTTCTTAATTCAGAAAACCTTGTTTCTGATATATGCTTACATTAAGACATTTGCTTGAGAAACTTGTTTTTTTTTTCTTCAAGTTGAATAAAATAGCCATTACAAAGCTGCTGGGCATACAAGAGTTGGTAGAGAAAATTGTTTACTTCGTTATTGATTGCTGAGTTGAACACCCATTATTCATTTGAATGCTTTTAGCCATTTAGGTTTCAGATTCTGTGGAGATCACAAAATGGTCATAACATCTAACTATCGTCCTAGGTACTGAGGTAGACATTCTTAGTTGGCTTGGGAAATCCGGTTTCTGGTTACTTATAATCTCAGTTAATGGACATTGATTTACAGAATTTGTCTGTGTGCAGTCAGTTAAAGGGAGAGAGGATAATAAGACTACCCGTCCTTTTATTTCAATCTTTGCTGATTTTTGGAATGAAATGTGCCATCATATAACGGAATGCATATACAGGATCCATATAACCAACCCCATTTTGGGGTTCAAGCATAGCTGATTATTGATTTGATCATTGGTCTAGTGACTTTCCGGGATACTTTGATTTTTTTAGTTACCGTCTCTTATTTCTATTGTGTGTCTAACTGCAGGTTGGATGACCCAGTTATGTGGGGATTCAAAGGTTTTCCAATTTCTGATGCGAAGCTGGCGAGATGGGTACTCGCAGCTGAAGACATATGCTTTAAAAATACAGCGTTGTCATATTTTTTCCGGCTTGGTGTGTAATCTGTTGGTCTGGTACTCTTCTGTTCTTGTATTTTCATGCCTTACTTTATTACTTATGAAAATATTGTATTAGACTACCCTAGAACTCAAAAGTGAAAATGAATGCTTTGTCAGTGGACATGCATTTTCAGCAGAAAATTATGTTCTTCTAGGAAGGATGGAGCATGCTTTTGCATAATGATGTTCAATCAAGGACTTTGAGAATATCTGGAGATCATTCACTTAAAAAATTTGCATCTTAGTACTAGCTCAAATCTTCAACCGTGCTTATGTGGTTTCTGTGCCATTTACGTGGATATGAAGCTTCCATATTAGCACTTTTTTGTATCTGCATGCATGCTAATGTGGTTTCTTGCCATTTACACGGATATTAAGTTTCATAATGAGCAGTTGTTCGGATCTGCACTCATGCTTCTGTACAACAAGCTTCCATGTTGAGCAGCTATTCCTATCTGCACCCATGCATCCATATTGAGAATAATTTTAGATTTGGATGTGTGCTTGTGTGGTTTATTCTCCACTGACATGTATAATAGTCAATTTAATATTTCATATTTCCCTTGTTAAAGCAAGTAGTGGAGGACTCTTATTTGGTGGACCTTAGGGGATTTTGAGGTTTTGGGGTTCACTTGCAGACTCACAAGAATCATATAATTAAAAAAAAGGCGTCGTTCTTAGTGTGGCTTGCTTCTCACGGTGTGGAGACGTGCAGGGAAATGTATACCAATAACAAGAGGGGGTGGAATCTATCAAGAACATATGAATGAAGCTCTTGATCGTTTGAGTGACGGAGCCTGGGTAATGCTTCTTTTACCCCATACCATGGACCCTTCATTTGGTTATGAACGTTGGTGTCGAATTCTGCAGATTTCTGCTTAAATCAATTGAATTTTTTGTTACACTCGAGGGGTTATGTACAATTCAAATTTTTGCATCTGATTAGGGTGGTTTTATCATTTACCCAATTGGTATTGCACTAAAATGAATACACACTCCCCAAAAGTTATATCGTGTTATTCTAGTATTAAATGTTGCATTTGAAATGATCCACTGCTCGGTGAAAGACTAATTTCCAAATGGGCAGTTGCATACATTTCCAGAAGGGAAGGTCTGTCAAGAAGATGCTCCAATAAGACGATTGAAGTGGGGAACTGCCAGTCTCATTGCTCGTGCCCCTGTGACTCCAATTGTCTTGCCTATTGTCCATCATGGTTTTGAAAAGGTAGGTTCTTGACATAGTCTGCTCATACACAGGGAATTGAACAATGCAAAATAGCAATGGATCCATTGGGTTTTAGTTGCTTTTGGTGGTAATACATTATGCACAAGAAGCAGACCTTCTTGGGGATGTTCGGATTGTTGTGATTCTGTAATCTATACCTGTTTATTTATATATTGTTCATTGGTTGCTAAATTTCCCCCGCTTTTCGGTGGAGCTAATTTTATTGTAGAAAAAATGTAGTGTAGGTTAGAGGACTAGAGGTAATGCAGTATTAACAGTGTTTTTCAAAATCTGATGGATTTGTGGCACTGCTTCAATGTTGTTAAACTGTCCATTGACTCTTTTGTCAACTTCACTAACAAGGTGACATGCCTTACCAATGCCATAGTTGCTTTCTCCTTTCCCTCCTGTTCCAACGTAAGAAAAGAGAATAAGAGTGGCCTAAGTGTCATGACGGTCATTACTGTCAGCTATCCTTTGTATTTCTATGGACAGGGATACATATTTTTGTTTCCAAATTAAGTGTGGATTATGATTCTGAATCAGCTTTTTATTTGATTAACTTTAAAGTTGATCCTTGGGATGATTAGACATTCTTTGCTTTGATCAATTTTCAGGTTATGCCAGAGAATTATGCTTGTGGGAGAAGACCTCCAGTTCCTTTATGGAACCGGGAGATAAAAATAGTTGTTGGTGAGCCAATGGAATTCAACCTACCTGAACTGAGAGAGATGGCTCTATCTCAATCTCGGGATTCATCATCTTCCAGTGGGCGGTGGCCCAGAACCATCCTTGGTGGACTGGACGAGGCAGCACAGAGATGTCTGTACATGACCATATCTGATCAAATTCGAACTGCCTTGGAAAACTTAAGGAGTTTCAGTAGATCTTACATGAAGCCCAAGCAATAGAGTTGGTGCTTTCCGATCAGTTAAAGGAAATCTGTAAGGTGCATCCGTGTTGAAGGTCATATTGTATTGAGTCAATTGTAGTTTTTCTTTTAATGATTTTGATAGTCTGAGGCTAGACACTTAATTGAGGATGCAGGATAAGATTTTTGGGTTCAGTATCACGGTATCATCCTTGTAGCTGTAATGTTTGCATTTTGAGATTTCCAATATCATTTGGTCAAAATGAAAGATATCACTTCAATTCTGGAAAAGTATTTGCGGACTTACTGGGTGCTATAGTGCCTTGTTCCTTCCTTTGGCTGCACGCGAAACAGATTATGTACAAGGAATGGTAATAATGTGTTGCAGTATTCCTTTGTCAACCGCTAGAACCAGATTGAACATAAATAGACTAGTTTTGGACAGTATTCCTTTGGGGAGAAGTTTTTGGAGTAAAACTGTTTGAAGAAAAAAGTTCGAATGTCTAGTTATTGAAAGATTATATGGAAGAATCATTCTTCACTGAGGAACTGGCGGACGCACTCACCAAAAAACAATACTGTGTATATGTATAAATTATGATCAAAGCAGCATAAATTTTGTATAAATATTTTATTTGAACTCACATGACAACTACGATTTTACGACTAAAGTTATGTACTTCTAAGATTGAATCTGCTTGCACAAAATCCTGGGTCCGCCACTGAGGAAGTGTCAAGTATTTGCACATATGAATTTTAGTATTTTTTTAAAAAAATTTCCTTAGCCATTAGAATGCTCAACTATTAACTAGAACTAGAATATTTAAAGTCTTGGTGAAATGTTGAAAAACTTACTTGAAGAATATTTCAAGAGAAGATAGGAGCAACAGTTTTCAGTATCAAATCTTCATTTTTTAATTAAATGAGTTTATATTCAAACACAGTTACATAAACTTTCGGATATTTTTTCCAATTTCAATTCTAAATACTTTTTTTTCCGCTCAATTTCAACCTAACATTGTTTAAATCTTTAAGGGGTTGTTCGGTTGAAAAATAAATTATCCCCCACAATTAATTATCACGGAATTAGTTATCCGGAAGATTAATTATCCCACATTCCCATAAGAATAAAAAAATGCTACAATCTCGAGATTATTTATATCACGATTTTATCTCAAACAAACATGAAATAAATTAATCTCAGAATTAATTACTATCTTTTTATACCTCGTACAAAAAGGGCCCTAAACGCTTACTAAATTTTGTACAACCAACACGGCAACACCACGGGTTGATGGGATTACTAGGTTTTTACAATTTACAATAAATCCTTTTCCTAATATTGACGTTATTTATCCCCGTCAATCGTCATCACAATTTCACATCGCGCGCCTTTCATAGAAAAAAAAGAAAGAGACATCTTATCGCAATGTTTTTCTATACCATACAGGAATTTTAACTCCCGGCGAACTACTCCAATATAGATAAAACTCCCAAAATGATAAGGGAATGATAGTGGTGGTTCTAAAAAGATGCAGCATCCTCCGATATATCCTTTTCCAATTCCAAGCCCTGAAAACAGTAAAAGAAACTGTGTCATTGCTTTCACCACTCCTCAAAACTACGCAGGTAGACTCTCTGAGCTCATACAACTCAAAGGCTGGACTCCTCTTTGGTGTCCTACTCTCATTGTTGAATCTACCCAACAAACCATCTCTTCTATTAACCACTACCTCAATTTTACCAGCAATGAACCCTACTCACTTCTTGAAGATTTTTCAGCTCTTGCATTCACTTCAAGAACTGGAATCACTGCTTTTTCAGAAGCTTTATCTATTAACTCCGCACTCCCATTAACCCCACATGGAGAAATCCTCACAATTGCAGCTTTGGGCAAGGATGCTGAGCTCCTGGATCAAGATTTCATTGGGAAAATGTGTGAAAATCCTGAGAGAATTAGAATCTTGGTTCCTCCAATTGCAACCCCATCTGGGCTAGTGGATGCCCTAGGATTAGGCCAAGGAAGAAAAGTGTTATGTCCAGTTCCGTTAGTGATTGGGTTGGATGAACCACCTGTAGTGCCTAAATTCCTTGAAGATTTAGCTAAAAAGGGTTGGATTCCAGTGAGATTAGATGCATATGAGACACGGTGGGCGGGGGCGAAATGTGCAGTGGAGGTGGTGACAAGGAGTGAAGAGGAATGTGGATTTGATGCGATTGTGTTTACCAGTACTGGAGAAGTGGAGGGTTTGTTGAAGAGCTTGAAGGAATTTGGATTGGATTGGGAAATGGTGAGGAGGAGGTGTCCAAGAATGGTGGTGGCGGCGCACGGCCCGGTCACAGCTGCTGGTGCTGAGAGTTTGGGTGTTGGGATTGATGTGGTGAGTTCCAATTTTGGTAGCTTTGATGGTATTGTGGATGCACTTTCTCATAAATGGAAATCATTGGAAAATCAAGAATCATGAATTTGGTTTTGCCTTTTTTTGGTATGTGTTCTTTCTTACCAAAACTAGAGAATATGTATGCTCATAAGAAGATTTTGATGAGCTTGAACTGTGTTTCTACTATTACATTTTCTTTTTGGAATTTCTTTAATTGTGTCTAGCACACCCTTTTTACCAAGCAACGTTGCCAATTATAGCAAAGAAAATGATAAGGTTTTGCACTTTGTTAGTTTAAATTTTCATTCTTACCAAAACAAGAGAATGTGCGTGCTCATTGTTGAAGATTTGATGAGCTAGATATGTGTCTTACATTTTCACGAGTGGCTTAACAATTTGCAATTTATAGCGAGGAAGATGGTGAAGAGTCCAGCACACCTCTTTAATTGTCTATACCAAATCCTTCAATTGTCTAGTCAAAATTTCTTTAATTCAAGCACACCTCTTTAATTTTGTAATTTGCAATTCATAGCAATTGATGTGGTGAGTTCCAGGTTTGATAGCTTTTGTGAAGCACTTCCCATAAATGGATAATTGGAAAATGTGGAATCTTGAATTTGTTTTGTGTTTTAAAAAAGGAGTAGCACAGTGCACTAAGATTTTATTATGCACGGGTCTAGGGAAGGCTGGATGACATTATGCAGTCTTACCTTGTATTTTTGCAAAAAGCCATTTCTATAGCTTGAAATATTTACCATTGCACCAAGCTCCCCTTCTTCTTTTGGTGTTCTGTTAGAATATATTCTGATTTCACCAAAAGTAGAAGTGTCTGTCGGAATTGATGTGGTGGATTCCATGTTTGATAGTTTTGATATATAGTGTTGTGGACTCACTTTCTCGTAGATGGCACTCGTTAGAAAATCAAGAGGCTTGAATTTGGTTTTTCATCTTGTTGCTGTATAAGTTCTGATTCTAACCAAAAGAAGTTAATACGTGTGCTCAGAAAAAGATTTGATGAGCTTGAATTGCGCAGTCTATTTTCATTGGAATTCCTTAAGGGTAGTTTGGTAAGAGGGATAAGGTGGGATAAGACGTGGGATTAAATTTATACGGTGTTGGTTGGAGGTATAAATTTAATCTCAGACTTGATCAAGGATATCCCATGTTATCCCATCAAATGTGGGATTATTTTATCCCATCTCTCATGTGGTATAAATTAGTCCTGGTATTATAATCCTAGGACTATAATCTCGAGATAATTTAGTCCGCATACCAAACAACCCCTAATTATATACAGCACACATCTTACTAGTGGATTATTAGCATATTGCAAGTAATGGTAAGAAAAAGAAGTGCCACGGAAGAGCTGAGGCTCGTAGATGAGGTATTTGTTTGTAATATTGCAGTCTTCTTACAGACAGAATAAAATGAATTCAAATCCAAGGCCAAACGTTTTAAAATCAAAGATTGATACATACTTGATATATGTACATGACAATTGACGGAGAGTGACACAACAACAATAAGTCCAGTATAATTCCACAGGTGGGTGTGAGAGGATAGTGTGTATGCAGAGCTTAACTCTACTAGGGAAGATAGTGAAGATAGAGAGGTTGTTTCGAATAATTGACAGAGAGTGATAATACTGTAATATGTAAAACAAAACTACCACTTTGGTGAGATTTCAATCATAGTAACGAGACTTAGCTTTTCGGTTTCATAACCAAGTTTTTCTTTCTCCCTCCTTATGCACCTTTTTTTACTTCATCCATACTTTTTTACTTTTTTCTGAAGTGGGGGTGCAAACGGCGCCTCTACTTCTACTTCTAACTATGCAATTGAGGAAGGATTTGGCAGGTAAGATAGAGCAAAAGCATAACTAAGATTGTTTTGCTATTACAGTGTGAAAGGAACTACTAGAGTAGAGATCCATTGCCTAGTTTTGGGCTGCGCCTCTTCTTTGGTTTGGGCTGCATTTCAATTCTGAGAATGCAATTCCTTGTAGAATGAATTGGATAATATTTCTGTATGCCAAATGGAAATGATTGAGGATGGATTTTCGGAGAGGATAAACATGCTTGCACACTAAACTTCCCCCATGTTCTTGAGAAATTAATGCACTATTACTGTTTGTTAAAATGCTTAGCAGAGTCATAACGCATCATCATTACAATTGATTAAATTAGGATTAAATCATAATGAGTTGACATCACCCTTCAGCTAAAAGTGAAAAACAAGAAAAGACAGTCACTTTTTGTCTTTGGTTGCCCTCTCCTCAAAATCATAAAAACTCCTAACAAACGCTTTCAGTAAAGGCACACGGTGGAACCAAATCTTTAATTAAAAGATAGCCATTCCAACTCAATATTGATAACAAAGAGAGTCTTAACAAATCCTTGGCTGAACCCATTAACTTAAAATTTTGAATTCGTTTCCGTCTTTACTGATAACAAATAAAAAATGTGAGAATATACCAAGTCAATGATAGGGTCGTAATATTGCATACCTTTTTTTTTTTTTTTTTAAAAT